ATAAGACTCTGCCAAGCTCTTTTGGACGAGAGGAGCTGCTGCAACTTTTGTTTTTGATGCAGCAGGTGCGCCACGCATCTTTTGGCTTTCATAATACTGCTTAGCATGTTTTATCTTTAAGTGGTGGAAGAGGTTACTGGTGTTTCCACCTCCGGCAGCAACAGTCGCGCGACACTCTTTGCAGAGTATCACGTTTTGTTCGTTGTCTGATTTTCTAAATCCGAAAAAGTTTCACACAACAGACGTAGCGCCCTTTTTCGGAACGAGTTCCTCCTCCTCTTCGTCATGAGTGGGTCGGGCTGCCTCCGTTCCCTCGTGACGTTCACTCTCCGCCTCCGCCATGATTGTTATCACTCCGGTAAAACTGTTTCTTCTTCATGTGCTCATGCAACCACGCCAAGCAGTCTGTTGCAGTGCCTGCAGTGCCCCGTGTGTCGAGGCGGTGTAACTACAGTGACTCAGAGAGATGCCGCAGACATCTGCTCTTTCTCCGGTATAAACGGTATTGCACAATCTCTACCGGTAGACATTTTATACCGTCACACGGTATAATACCGTCATACCGCCCAACCCTAGTGGGCGGTGGAATTTTTGATCTTAGCAAAAATGTAAACTATGAAATATAAACCAATATTTGTTTTTCGATATCAGATTCATAAATGAATAGTGAAATAATGACTTGTTTTTAAATTGTCCAATTGTGGTTATCTAATTGAATATGAAAAGAAAGATTGATGCACAGATTTACAGGGATTGTTGCTCTCTCCCTCTCTTGGCCCAGTTTAGGTTGCGCTTTGCCGTCTTGGTTGGGGGCTCGTCTGACGAGCCACTGGGCGTGTATAATACTATTGAACTATTTCATCTTGATGTAGAGCTGGGGAGAAAGTATAAGGAAACTCTGCTAAGAGCTGTTTCGCCAACCTTTGGAAAAGTGTTTAGGAGAAGAGCTCCCTCTGGTGCTGACTTTGGGGTTTAGAACCACCATACTGTAAACACTCAAAAACAACATATACAACCCACTAGAGAACTGGGAAAGACTGAAAAACCACAATAGGTCCCCTTTAGAGGTATCTGCTGTATATAGGTCCTACCCAAAAAGTGGGATTCTTACTCTTTCTATGCTATAATTCCTTTTAACATCCTGGAAGATGCATACATAACCTTAGTACATGGTGACATTACACCCAGGGATCTGTCATACCCTCTCTTACTTCACTTGTTGACAGTGAAAATGCTAACAAAGTAGCAAAATCAAATAGAATGTTCTGTGGTAAGTACCACTTAAAAGCAAGGGAATGTTCTGAGTTAAAGTTTCTTCCATGTTTTCCTAAGGTCAAGCAGTTTGAACATAGTAAGGTGTGTAATTTTTTTCACCTTGCCTTTGTCTGTTACTCAGGTTCCAGTAAGCCCCAAGATGATCAAAGCGGTGTTGTTGTTAATCTTGGCCCTAGTACCCATGTCCTCAGCCTTGGGGAAATACATCCCAAAGACTGGCAAGAGGATCCCCCAGACTCTGTCTCGAGGTCTGTGACAATCGATTGCACCTCAAAGGCTAAATGTTTTTGTTATCAACACTGAGATAAAGAAGAGTCTGCCACTGCGTTTTAATGGAGTCCATGTCTGTTCAGGTTGGGGTGATCAGCTGATCTGGGCTCAGACTTACGAGGAGGCTCTCTACTGGGCCAGGTCAAAGTATGAAAAAGTTCTAACACAACATCCATAAAACCTTAACACTGACATTCATAGTTGATGATTAAATGTAAATGAGGTTGATATTTTTTTCAGGAATAAGCCTCTGATGGTCCTCTTTCACCTTGAGGACTGCCCACACAGCCAGGGTAAGTCTGAAGAAAAACAGCCGTTTGAATTGTTGAGTTACTCATGCAGAGAAAAACATTTCTGTTGAATGAAGAGCCAGACCTATTTGGAGAGCATGTTTTCTCAAGTGTAATGTCACCTCACACATATGGGTACAGTTGTACACCTTGTTCATATAATAACAAACACTGAACTGAGTTACACAGTTAAAAAACAGTTTCTCCTGCAGCACTAAAGAAGGTTTTCTCAGATTACCAGCTCCAGAAAACTCTTGACGAAGACTTCATCGCCCTCAATCTGGTTGTAAGTTACTTTTCAAAACTGATGGCTTGAAAAATTAATATCGCTCATTAGTTAATTTTGAATATTGTTCAAATGTGTACAGAAGTTTGCCATACTCACCCACGTAAAGCTAGCAGCTGCTACATTTGACAGAAAATGNTTTTCTCAGTATGAAACCACAGACAAACATCTCTCTCAGGATGGACAGTATGTTCCCAGAATCATCTTTGTTGGTAAGCCACACAGCTATTCTTAGGCCTGTCACAAGTCATTGTCATAAATTATGTGACTTACCTTCAATGGAAAAAGTGCAGTGGTTAGCAATGTCACCTCACATCCAGAAGGCTCTGGATTTGAATGTATACCTGCTGGTCGGGACCTTTCTTGTTTGTAATTTTCCTCCTGGTGCTGTAGTTTGCTCTCACTGTCCCTCAAGTTGTCCATAGAAATAAGTGTGAATGATTATTTTCTCTATGTCAGCCCTGTGACTGACTGGCGACCTGTCCAGAGTGTACCTCGCCACTTGTCAGTTTGGATTTGCACCGTATATTTAATGGACGGATAGACACATTGTTGAGTTTTAGTAAACTCATGTCAAGGCTGAAAGTTACAGATATTGGTGAATTTACATTTTTACCTTTGTTATAATACTATCAACTACATAATAAGTTGTAATTCAAAGGACTTTTACTATAGGTTAAGCATCATGTGACTGATATCACAGGATTTCATGGGGATGATGTCACAGAAAGGGGCAGTTAAGTGTCAATCAGAAGCCTGCCCCTTTGAATAACATGACAAGGTCAAGGTAGATAATGAGTGAATTTTTTTTTTTTTTTTAACTATCCCTTTAATGTTAAGGATATAAATCTGACATAAATTAGACAATGTTTGTAATTGTTATCAAATCATGTTTGTGATGTATTCAAGCATTTTTTAGCTGTCCCACTTTATTGATAAAGTGGGACAAAAGTCATTAAGGTTCTCTAAATGGGGAAATGTGCATTTAGGGACTTCCTGAAGTAAAAAAAAAACTAAAGAGATGTTGCATGTGGTTTACAGTTGTCGGACGGGAGTTATAGTAAATACAGTCTGTCCCTGTCTGTTTAAACTGATAACTAGCACATAATCAGTTAGTTCTCTAGGACAGAGATAATTAAAAAAGTACAGAAGAGTTGCTGTCCTGTGAGATCGGCAGCCATTGGTTTCACGAAACTTGGAGAAAACAATGGGGTGATCGATGATGATGGGTCTCTCACGTGTACTGACTGTTTGTTCCCTGAGTAGCCCCAATAGAAATGGTAAATTGCAGAATGAAAAAAACGTTATTGATATTTTTCATTGCTGTTGATTGAATTCCATATATTAAAACAAAAATGTAATACACCTCTAATAGAATGTTTCGAATCAATTTTACAGTTTCTTTATTTAGGCTCGGGTGAAACAATTATTACATTTACACGTTGATATGAATTAATGTTAATGTAATATCCAAATACACACCATGTATCAGAAAGTAAACTGGTTGCCAAGATACTCACAATTCAAGTAAAAAAACTGCAGCACCAGTGGATGCACACAGGTTCTGCCTGCTCGAAGATTAAATCTTTTTACTCACCCACTACCTTAAATGTTTCCACAGACCCAACAATGACAGTGAGAGGAGATTTAGTTGGTCCCTATAGCAACCGCATGTATGCCTATGAACCAAATGACCTCCAACTCTGTAAGTGCTTCAGCTAACACACAGTGATGTTAATATAAATGTTATCTTCTGGCAGCAGTCTTTTTGTGTCCATGAAACACATACTGATTATTAATTATGAATGTCTCTTGCCTCTTCCCTTAGTGCTGAACAACATGAAGAAGGCTAAGAAACTCCTGAAGTCTGAGCTGTGAACACAAGGACAAGACACATGCTCAACTTCTAACCCTGATCCATATTTGAACATCATTTCAGATTCCCATTTTATGCTGTCACTACAATTTACAAAGAAAACTAAGCACTGTAAAGTTTTCCTCAAATCACCTTCATTTTACATGTTTCTGTTTGTGTCTGATTCTTAACTTTGTAATTGTAGATCTACATCCACAATGTCTTTTAAATAAATATGGAACTGTTCATATATCCAAGAGGAATATGCTGCCTTTCATTCATAAAAGAAATTACAAATGTACATACAAAAGAGAACTAACTTCAGTGTTAAACCACACATTCCTCTGCTGTTTTTCAGGAATACTGGTAGTGATAAAGCATTAAAATGAATTGGAACAACAAATGACTGGATAAAAAATGTTTAGCTTCTGTATAGAGCAGGCTATTTTAAAGAGCGGTATCTCTAATCCCTCAGTTAGAAAGTCACAGAATATTCACCTCCTACAATGTTACCAGTAATGTATCTGGTTAGCCTGTCTATACATATAGTGTCATTTTGCTTTTTGAATACTTTTAAAACTGCATTCTCAACAACTCAATAAAGAAAAGTAAGGGGGGAGGAAAGGAGAGATGGGTGGAAAGCGGGGGGAGAGAAGAGAGAGATGAGGTGGAGAGAGAGAGACCGGGAACAATTTGGCACCATCAGTATCAAGGCTGACTATAACAATAACTAAATAAATAATGATGACAATGGTGATGGTAGTCGTTGTTGTCCTGCACTCCCAGTGCCGGAGTTATCTGAAACGAGATAGAGAGAAGAGCCAGAGGGACTATGGGAGGACAAAGTGACACTTTGATATGATGACATGTTAAAACTAATAAATAAATAAATAAACAGGTGTGAGGGGGCAGAGAGACAGAGAGACAGAGGGAAGTGATGAAGTGCTCAGTGCATGATGGGAGTTCCCCCAGCAGTCTAGACCTATAGCAGCACAACTAAGGGATGGTTCAGGACTCA